GCTGACGGGGCGCCCTCGCCGGGGTCCCCCGGGGCTACCGCGAGCGTCGAAGAAAACACGATGTGTTCCCACAGGGTTAAGCAAAAATAAATAAATAAAAGATCGTAAGGCCCGGAAATGTCAGTATCTCATGCTCAGAGGTAGCGCGTACGTTGGGAACGCAGCGCTGGGCGCGCGAAAGGCCTGGGCAGAGGGGCGGTTTCTTGCCTGAACAAGACAGATAGAGCGTTTCTTAGCAAATAAAGACTCGCTGGCAGGAGCTGTAGTTGAAGGTGGGAAGGAGGGCGAGCAGGGCAGGACTGTATGACGAACTCGGAGGAAATTTCTACCTCCGCTTGCACAGCGTAAAACACGACCAAAATAATTGGAAGGGGCTATGACGTTTTCCCATCCAAACGCGAACAAGACGAGGGAGTCATTCCAGATGGAAAAAAAGCTGTTCAAAAAGTTGACAAAACCAGCGATACATAATGAACTGAACAGCAAATTTAAAATTTACCCTGGGCTTAATTACTTGATGGATCGCGCACGCGCAACAGAAGAACGGCATCCTGTAACAACAGCCGGTCTGCCTGCCTAAAATTGCTCTTTCCATGCCTGTGCTGGGCGCGTTTCAGGGAGGGGTTTTGCACCTGCCGCCAGGTGAGAGCGCAGCAAGGAGGAGGGGGCCCCCACCCCAACTCGGGCTGGGTCCCACGGCGTGACGCCGAGGACACGAGCGCTGCCCAGAGGGGACGGCCAGCCCTCGGAGGGACCTGCCTGAGCTCGGCCCGGCCGGGAGCCTGCAGGAAGGCTCTCACAAGATGCGCAGCGGGAAAAGAAAATCCTTCATAGTTATCGGACTGATCCTCAGCAACTTGGAAACGGTGAGAGCAACCCGGTTTCTTTCAAAACGTTTCCAAGAATACTTTGTGCTTTGTAAAAGCCAACTAAAAATTAGGGACTGTTTGATTGAGACGATCTGATACTTGCTCCTACATCTGTATTTTTTGTTACTGTTACATTTTTGCATGCATTTACAACTGGCTTACTTTTAAATTTCCCAGATAAAATATTTCGCCTCGTATTTCTAATTTTCTGCATCCTCCTTTTCAGATCTTTTCAGCTAACACAGGTAAATCTTCCCATTTTCTTTTTGCATGCTTGTTTTTAAAGAGGCCTGAAGAGAACACATACATTTCTGATTTTTAATAAAATATTCTGTAAATTGTAGCAGCTTTATAAACAAAAATTGTCTTAAAGTCTGCTTCTGTTTAAAAACTGTATGTTGATATCTTTACAAATGTGAAACGCTCACTTTTTCGGAGTCCC